AACTGACACATTGGCTAAAATAATGACTGGCATTCAGTTTGGAAGGTAGTGCAAATGCATAGCAGCATCATTGTTGCATTTAATTGGGTTTCTGATAATATTCAACTTGTCTCTTAGGGTAACCAACCCCCTCTTAATATTTAAATCTCACAAGTTGATGGAACCCTAATTGAAAACATTTCTGTGTTGTGCAGTGTTATATTTGGGCATTGGGATGGGGATACAACCAAGCATTTCAAGTACTAATCATAACAACATGTTAAACTTTGACTGTAGATTTAAATTATTGTGATTTGTGTGGTAGTGTTCTGTCATAATTTCAAAGTAGTGTTTTTTTTCATTCATAGTGTACCATGATCACTGAAACTCTCCAACATGGCCATCTTATCCCTTTGGCTCTTATTTATTTTTTTGCAGAAGTATCCATTTACAGGAGCTTCAACTGTTTAATTCAGATAACAAAATTATAACGCTCAAATCAGGGCAGTGGTGAAACTGTAGTTCATTATGATCTGGCTAAAGGAAATATGTGATGAAAATATAAGACCTACATTTTCATTAACAGGCTGTCAGAGACATTCAGTTTTCACACTTCAAAAAGAGTTTATTGGGTGCTGTAAGTGATGATGGAGCTCTCAATCTTTGGGATTCCAACACAAAAAAACTATCCACATCATTTGCATCTGACCACAAAGGACCTGCAACAGGACTAACTTTCTCACCCATGAATGATATGCTATTGTGTAGTGTGGGACTTGACAAGAGGATTGTGTTCTATGATGTTCAGCAAAAAAAGTAAGTAGAATGCTATTAAACCATTACCATATTGTGTAACTAATATTATTAAAAACTAGATCATTGGATAATGCAATTCAAGACTTTTTATTGGCTTAGCCATTATGGTATATCAGCCAATATACCATAATCTACAAATATGGTAAGCGTACGTGTTAACTTAAAATTAAAAGGGAGCTAAAAATTTAATAAAATTTAATAATTTAATTTAACATTTTTAATAAAACAATTATTCCACTCACGCTTGTTGAATATAAGATGATTATTGCCAACTCGGCACTACGCCCCTCGTTGGCTATCTATCATCTCATATCCAATGCGCGCTCGTGGAATAATTGTTAAATAGATAAACCCTTGGATCGTGAGCAACCCAAATTTATAAATGTCCATACAGCCAACAGGGTTTTCATAGTTTTGGTATGTATTTAACATGTCAAAGAGTATTCTTAAATAAAAATTAGATTCTGATAAGTCTTGGCCCTGAAATCGAGCTTTAAACTTCCCACTTTGGCCACGTCCATTGAAGATGACTGTGAGTCTGGGCAAAAAAAGAGATTGGGTTCAGAATGGGTCATGACGTCAAATCAGGAACGCGCCAAATCCCGCCAGTGGTTCATTTCACTGTTTTTTTCAGTAAGGTAAAGAGTTTTCGGTGACATAAATATGTCTGATAGATATGTTGTAAAAGTACTGTGTTTGTCAAGCAAAGTAACAACACGATGCTCAAGACGCTCCTGGAGTGATGTCACTTATCACCAATCTTCCTTTACACAGTCAACTTCTTTGGGCGTGGCTGAAGCGGGAACTTTAAAGCTCAATTTTAGGGTGAAGAGACGTCAGAATCAATTTTTTTTTTGAGAATACTTTTTACAGGTTAAAGAGATACCAAAACAATAAAAGCCTTGTTGGCCGTAGAGATACTTTAGGTCTTCCATTTCATTTGATGCAGTACATGTAAGTTTGTATACTTGTGCACACGAATATCTTCTGCCTTTTTTTTGCTTGCATTTTTAATAATTGATACAAAATTTGTTTCACCATAATTTTTGTTTGAAGGCCTTTTCAACTTGTTAGAAATAATATTTGTCATTGTTGATATTGTTATTTTATCAATAACCCCTTTTGATAATTTTATATAATTATATTATTCTTTAAAAACTACATTTCAAATACATATTAAGTATGATTCATTTGTTGTAGCTTTTTTTAATGTAGATACTCTATGAAGACCTTTCCATTAATTCACTTCTCCAAACAAACTTTCAAAAGGAAATCTCACATTCTATGTTAAATGTTAAGGTGTAGTCTGATCGTCCGGGTGAGTGTAGTCCTGAGAAGGACTGTTGTCAGTGGTAGTGACTGACGTTTCGACAACCTGTGTGGAAGTCATCATCAGAGTCAAGTGAATGATTGTTGTCAGTAGAATGTACTTATTTCAGTTTGTGTAAAATGATTGGTTGGTTTTGCCGTGATGTTATTAGCTGTAAGACTCAAGTGACGTAAGTCAGTTGTGATTGGTCTGTTTCGATCTGTTGGTAAAGTTAGGTCGTTCTTTTTCGGTCGTTTGTGATGTTTATGTCATGAATGAGTCGTTTGTATGGAGTGGGTAGTTGTTGACATCTGGTTAGGGGAGTCTGTTCTAAGTTAGTAAACCAGCTTTCCAGAGTCAGTTGTTGAAAATAGTCAGTGCTGTAGGTTAGGCATTGTGCAGGGTCCCAGTCAAAGTTGTGGTTGGTAAGTCGATGGTGTTCAGCAATGTGATTGCTGACATCACCTTTCCTCGTCGCCCGTCTGTGTTCAGTCAGTCTTGTTGTGAGGTTTCTGCCAGTCTCACCGATGTAGGAGGCTTGGCAGTCGGAACAATTGATCTTATAAATCGTTCCCTGTCTGTTCCTCGGTTCGTCTTTGTCTTTAACGTTGGTTAGTAACTGACGTAGTGTGGTGATGGGTTTGTGGGCGACGCGGATATTGAAGGGTAGTAAGATGCGCGAGATGTTTTCAGACATGCCTTTTATGTACGGTATGGTTGCTGTAGTCGTAGGGGTTGCGGTGTCGTTTGTTTCGGTAGTGGTAGTGGGTCGGTGAGTGTTTCGTCGGATGAAGTCGTTGTTGTAGTTGTTCTTCGTAAAAACACGGTGAAGGTATTTGTTCTCGTCGGATAAGCTGTCTGTCGAGTC